GAGCCACACGAACGGGAAGGCCGCCGCCACGGCGCCCACCAATCCCAGGACGGCGAACTTGAGCTTGGGCTTGACTGTGCCGCCGGAGCGGCACGCTGACGACAGTCCAAAGTGGAGCAGGAAGCCCGCGTTGACGGCGCCGTTTGAGCGCGTGAAGGCGGCGGCAGTGAACAGCAGGGTTGCCATCGTCATACTTTTCCGCCTGCAAAAAAAAAAAAAGAAAAAAAAAGAGCGGTAGAAAACAAAATTATTAATTCACCTGTATAAATACACATGAGAAAAGCAAAAAACTGTCCTACAAAATTTTCATATGGTATCCAGTGAGACCCCCACATGCAGACACCTTGACATGCAGATAATTTGACATAGGGACACTTATTTTTCCATAAAAAATTAATAAAAAAAAAGGTACAACATGAGGACACTAACTCAACATATGGACATTTTTAAATAAAATTGCAAATAAGTTTCAGGCCAAATTACAAGAAACAAATGTTTCCAACCCTAAAATCGATGTAAGAAAAGTTCTTGGGCCTTTCTCTCACCAATTTACCATCCATTTAGCTAATTTTAACAAATTACCTCCAGCAAAGAGGGACTTCCTTCTCTCCTTTTCACTTGAATGTTATTTTCACAGAGAATGCCAACATTTCTATGTACTGTTCAGAGGTATCAGTATTCAATTCTCCAAAAGTCCATATTGCGTTGAAATATATTTATTGAATCAATTTCAATTGGGAGACAATTTTTATTTTCATGGAATTATGGTGAGTACTTTGTCCTTAAAACATCAATTAAAAATTATATAATGTAAGTCTATGGGGAAATGAGACTTGACTTAGGAACACTCCGGATGCACATATCACGTTCTCATCTTGGGGTCACACTGTAATTGTAATTTTTCTGAATATAATTTTTTTCAAAGTGATCTCAAGATTTTTAAACACAAACTTTTCTAGAATTATTGGCGAAGTCTCCGCGTACATTAAGACATTATGCTCAGGTATCGCGGCAAACTTTTTTGAGATCAATTTTTTTTTTCAACGTTTAAAAAAAACCGTGCAAGATTTGTGCCTAATTCGCCGTCACACACAATCACGCTTTTCTCTCTCAACTCCGTTCCCCTACATCAGCAAAGGATTAAATTTGCATTGAAGAAAAAAAATCAATTGGCGAGGGGGAAAAATAATCGTACCCGTAGAGCCAGTAGAGCCCCTCGAACGTGAGCCACGCGAACAAGGCCTCGGAATACAAGGCCGAGAAATAAACGCTCGCCGGCGACACGCAAAACAAAACGGCGGCGTAGTAGCACCACTGCATCCCCCGCGTTTTCCTCACGTCAACGACACTCGTCGTCAGCCGGAAAAACGCGTCAGCACTCAACAACGACACCAAGAAATTCAAGCCGACGCCGGAGACTAGCAACGCTGATCGTGACGAAAACAATGGCGGCGACACCCCAACGACGACGAGACGGACGCCGTGGACCAGCAGGGACGCCACTGACGAGAGTAACACGGGCCAGGCCGGGAAAAAGGCGGCGGATTGTTCAGACGTGTAGCCACGGGACGCAATGTCCATGAAGTATTCGGCGTCCCAACGGGCCAGTCCGCCGAATGCCGCCTCCAGCCACGGGTTCTCGGTCGATGGGTCTCGGGTTGCTCGGAAGGCCTCGTCGGGATCGTGGGGCCAGTCTTCGAATAGGAAATTTGACACTGCCTGCAAAAAATAAATGGCATATCAGAAAAATTGAAATCTTTCCAAAATTTTTTTTTAACATCTGGGAAAAAGGCATTTAAATACTGCAATACAATTAATTAATTGCTGACCAGCATGAAAACATTCAAAATACAGGTACACAAATTTTCTCTTCTTCCTTGAGCTACACATAAAATTTGAAACTGCCTGCAAATATTAAATGGCATATAAGAAAAATTGGAATCTTTTCTGAAATATTTTGTTAGAAAAAAACATCTGGGGAAAATGATAATTAAATAATACAATAAACTAATTGCTGACCAGCATGAAAACATTCAAAATACAGGTAAACAAATTTTCTCTTCTTCCTTGAGCTACACATAAAATTTGACACTGCCTGCAAATAATAAATGGCGCACCAGAAAAATGAAATCTTTCCAGAAATATTTTGCTGAAAAAAATCTGGGAAAAGGGTATTTAAATAATACAATTAATCCATTTCTGACCATCATGAAAACAATCAAAATACAGTACAGGTACACAAATTTTCTTTTCTTCCTTCAGCTACACATACAATTTTACATGCGAATAATGAATGGCATACCAGAAAAATTGAAACCTTCTCAGAACTATTTGTAACAAACTCTGGAGAAACAGGTAACTAAAAAATAAAATTAATCAATAGCTTTGACCATGAAAACATTAGAAGTGTGCATGATGTAAAATACAGTGAGACCCCCACATGCAGACACTTCAGCATCCACCCAATTTGACACAGGAACACTTATTTTCCCATAAAAAATTGATGAAAAAGGCCCCAACATGAGGACACTGACTCAACATAGGGTCATTTTGTGATGATATTGAAAATATACTTCAGGCCAAATTACAAGAAATAGATATTTCCAACCCTAAAATTGATGTGAGAAAAGTTTTTGGGCATTTCTCTCTCCAACTTTTTCATCCATTTAGGTAATTTGAAAAATTACTTCCAGCATAGAGGGACTTCCTTCTCACTTTTTCACTTGAATGTTATTTTTACAGAGAATGCCAACATTTCTATGCACTGTACATAGGTATCAGTATTCAATTCCCCAAATGTCCATATTGTGTTGAAGTATATTGATTGAATCAGTTTAAATTGGGAGACAATTNCTGTGTCAAATTGGGTGGATGCTGAAGTGTCTGCATGTGGGGGTCTCACTGTATTTTACATCATGCACACTTCTAATGTTTTCATGGAATTATGGTGAGTATTTTGTCAATAAAACACAAATTAAAATTATACAGAGTAAGTCTAAGGGAAAATGAGACTTGACTTAGGGACACTCTTGATGCACCAATTATGTCCACATCTTGGGGTCTCACTGTACTTTTCTTTCTTGAGCAACACAGTAATACAACACAGTGTACAAGGTTGTTTCAGAATAAAAAGCACTCTCTCCTGTACTTTTCCAAAGTACTGTATATGAATAGATGTCATCGTGAACATGTAGTCATAGATAAACACTTGTGTTAAGAAGAGCTTCAGAGTTTATGAGGACTACATATAATGCAAGAATTTGGTTGGGCTGCAACCAGGGTGACTGAGCACCCTATTCTGAAGCTGGTACAGTATATTTTTTTGGAGAAGATATTACCAGTCTCCAAATTTGCCAAGTACTTGGGAGATCCTTACAGTGCCACTGCTTGAATTGAAGTGAAGTTTTTTGGAGAGAGTTTTTAGAAGTGTTTCTTTTTTAAAGGTACAGTACATAATATTTCCACAGAGATTGGTGCTTTAGATATTGAGTTTCTGTCATAATTGTTTTTATTTCTAAAGGTTTGGGGATTTTTTGAACATTGCTTGTTCTACAGATTCCTGTGGGAGTTTGCCCAATTCGCACAGAAGCTTCAAAGGACAAGTTTTGGCAGAATACCAAAAGTTGTCCCTCCATGAATCAGGGGTGGATTAAATTTAACAATGGCACTTTATTTGAGAGATTAAGTTTCAAAGATAGAGGCCAAACATGATTAATTGCCATTTTCCTCAGAACAGCTGACTAAATTTGCAACAAAACAAAAATGGGGCAACATCTCTACACTGCTCAAGTATGTTTGAAGGGAAGTGAAACAATTGACAAATGGTAAAGAACTTCAAGTTATCAAAGTTCAACCATATATTTTGAATAGTTTCTTTGGGGCCAATCCCACACAGAGACTGTACTTTGAGCAGCACTGCTCTGCCACAAGCTCATCTAAAACAAATTTCTCTGTACAGAATAACAATTTTGGTTGACAAATTGGGCTCTCTCCCCAGGGTTATAGGGCAGTGTTCCCCAAACCCCTTTGGGTCCTAGGACCAGCAAATTTCCATAAAAATGTTTGACAAGCAGCAAATTTGCATAAAATTTTCTGCAGACTGGCAACATTCCATGAACATTTTTCAGGCCAGCAGCAATTTTTTCATGAAGTCCTCTGAAGAAAACTCTCATTGAAAAATTTAAGAACCAATGAAGTAGCGTTTGAAGGCCTTCAAAAATTAGAAAGCTGGGCTTGGGTTTCTCAGAATGAAATCATGAAGTGATTAATTTCAGCTTACAAAAATTTGTCAGCAGTGTTACTGTATACGGAGAAAAGCCAACTTTAATTTTTCATCAGATAATTTCAACTGCCATTGCCTTCCCAAAATTTCAGATGAAGACAACAGACTTCATTACTTCTTTTGAGAAATCAATCAGGTGGAAGAACATTTCCTGCAGACCACTTTCATAGGGGTTCTGTTCTAAATAAGTTTCTTTGGTCCTTTGAATTTTTTTTAGAGCAAGTCCACCTGTACTAAATATTCTAGTTTCCCCAACACTCAGTGTGTCCACTGATACACTTCAAACAAGAAACAAAACATAATTTTAAAAATTTGTCAGGTAAATCCAATCGCAAAGCATGACACTCACACCCCAATTTATTCTGGGGGAAAAAAAAGAATGCAAATGACTTTCACATAAATCCAGTAAATGAATTCTTGGTGTGAGGGTGGGGGGAATCAAACTTGCCTGCCACACAATGATCAACAACCTCCACTGAACACCAAACAACAAGAGCTTCCATCTCAGCTCAGCTAATTTCCCATCTCCATCAACATCCACCAAAGCTTCTTTGCTCACACTCACAACGACCGCTTTCTGCTTCACAGCCCTCACCCTGGACTTGGAATCCATGCTTTTTCTTTTCACATTTTCTATCACGAGTCAAGATGAATTAAAACAAAATCCACAGACATCAGGCAAAATTCAAAAACAAGAAAAAAAAGCAACAGTCACGCATTCAAGGAGCGCATGTCAAAATTTTATTTCACGTGAAAAAAAATCGTAAAAAAATTTTTCATTTTGAATGCGCACGCGGGAAAAGCATCACTTTGTTGATTCGGAACACAGGATAGCTTCGTTGTATAGGTCCAACGCAACCCCGATATTCATTTTTTCCATCACCCCTGTTCTTCTCCACTCTGGCCATTCCCACGCACTCGGTTCACCTGTAATTGAACAATAACAAAACATTTAAAATATGCTTAAACATAGATCAATTAAACCTTTCCATGTCAAGTATTGTAACTCCATATGCCGATTTTTTTTTTCAAAATCCCAGTCTGAATTCTTACAGAAATGAAGCATTCAAAACCTCTGTAGCTCAAAAGTTTTCCTCCTCAACTCATAAACGCTTTTGCTTTTATTTTATTGACACAGGAAAGAAAAAAGCAATAAAAAAGTGAATTCATGTGTTTTGAGAGGAAGTGAAGAGACTAATTGGGAAAATTCACCCTTGCCATAAATCATTCAAGAAGCAATTTCAGACCCAGAATATCACAAAATTTAAATTTCCCGAAATTCTTCTTTCTTTCCCCCCCAACAAAAATTTTTGTTTCCATAACTCAAAACCTCATCAAGTCAACTTTTTTTTAACTAATCCCTTCAAAATTCGACCACTAAAGTTTTTGAACCACCCTCGCAAAATGAGACCCAAATAAAAATATTCGCGTCGATAAGGGAATATTATTTCGAATGGGGGTCATTTGAACTGAAATTAATTACAGTTCATGCACGAGAGACGAGTTAAATTATCAAGTAAATTCATCCGCAGAATGCCTTAAAAACTGTTCCATTTAACATATTAGTAAAACAATAAAAATCACTTGCTGGGTGTTCTTTTCTTAATTTACAGCAAAATCTCGTTATAACGAATGTTAATGCATAAAGAATCAATGCTTACAACTAATTTGTTCTTTTAGGTCCCTGCCCAATAGCGAAATTTCTTTTCAACGAATGAATTTTTATAATATTTTCTGGTGCCAACGTCTTCGTTGTAATGAGATATAACTAATGAAATTTGAAGATAATTCCAAAAATTCGAATACAGCCATCCCAGAAAAGAAACCGTTAAAAAATTATTTTAACCAAACACTTCGAAAAAAAAAACTGTCATCATTTAAAAAAATAAACGCGATACTTCTCCGGAATATGAAAAAAAAAAAATCAGGATAAAATGTAAAGCTTCCGAAATCCAGAAGCACGTCTAAAAAAGGATTTTGCAGTAAACTAACCCTTCATGCTCGATGGCGGCACAAAAGGTAATCGGTAAAACTCGAGAAACATGGCAAGTTTCATGCTGAAATCAGGACTGATTTCCGTCGACATCTCCATCGTCACACCTGTCGTGGATGCCTTCGATTCCCAGCCGAAATAGCTTCGCAAATACGGCAACAATTCTGTTTCAAGAATAATCAACAGGCAATCGTCAGTCATGCATCCCAAAACAAAATATAAACGCTCTCATAAACAAATTTAAAGATAATTTCGGTTCTGCGTCATACATAAAAAAAAAAAAAGTGGTTGCCAGTCAAAGAATTCGCGCATTTTCTATGTACAATACTTTGTTTTGAACCTTGTAAACGCTGACAAGCAGGAAATAAAGCATACGACGGTCCGTTCATAAGTTTTGAGACTTTTCGAAATAGATCAAACAGAGTTGACACAAATTCCAATTTTTTTTTTTTTACTCGCATAGCCTCATCATGTGGCAACACTTAAACCCTGTTCAACATACTCTTTACAGATTTTATCGCCTTTTTTCATTCAATAAATCCAACCATCAAATTACTGCCGAAAATCAAGTTCTGTCAGTCGATTAAGCAGCTCTTTGACGGCGGAAATGAGGCAGTCCCTTGACCTCAAAATCAATTCCTTTCAGGTCCTTCTGCACCATCAGGAATAGCCAATATTGTCACAGGGTGCCTATAATCACCCCAATGAAACTTGATTTTTGGCACTGTTTCGGTTGTTGGATTTACGGCATAAAAAAAATGCATTGAAACCGGCGGAGATTACGTTGAACAGCACTGAAGCGTTGCCAAATGGAGGGAATATGCAAGTAAAAAAAACAAAAACAAAGTAGTCTCAAAACTTATGAACCAAACCTCGTACTCATCAATCATAGCACTTTATGTGCAGAAAAATCTTTCAGACGCCGGGAAAGAGAAGTAAATTGCACGACCAAAAAAAAAAAAAACCTTTTCGCCAGCCGTCGACAGAGTCCGAGGCCAGGGATCTCAAGGCAGTGCCAGCAGCATCAGTGACCAACGGCACATCCTGAACAACGTCAGCATCGTCTTCAAAGTCTTCCACCAGCTGCTTGGTCCGCTTGGAATCGGGCAGAACTTGTTGCATGAACGCGATGGCGAGCGACATCTGCCGGAGCCTCGTGCACACCGTCAACTGAGAGCAAAAGTCCTTCTTGCTGCAACCGTCCTTCAAACTTCTCGCGATCTTGGAGAAAAAAAAGAGACGATAAAATATGAACGAATTATAATTGGATGCGATGAAAAGAATAAAAACGGGGTCCCAAAATGGGATTTACTCACATTGCTAAGCATTAAAGCATCACCAAAGGCGATGATCCTGCCTTGAGTCACGTACTCGAAAAACAACGTGGTTATTCGATCGTGTTCAGCCCTTTCTTTGGCATCCGCGTCTTCGGGTGATGCCGAACCCAGGATAAATTCGGGTATTTCCGCGATCCCAGGCAACCCGAGGAATGCGCTCACATCGCAACTCTACAGAGAAAAAAATATTTCAACAAAAAATTTTGAGTAAAGTTGAACCTCAATAACTCGAACCTCTCACTATTAAATTTATGAAAGTCCTTGTCAGAATTCCCGTAGAAAAATATGCTTTAAAAACCTCCTGAACTCGAAGGATTTCCTCCTCTAACCTCCATAACTCGAATTTTCTGGAGGCCTTTTGAAGATTATTTCATTGACACAGGAAAGAAGAAAGCAAATAAAATGTAACTTGATACTTTTGGAAAGGAACAGAAAGACTGATTTCGCGAAGAAACCCTCGCCTCCAAGTTTAGGATCCTTTCAAATCATTCAAGAAGCAATTCAACGCCCAGAATATCCCCGATTACAATTTTCTGCAATTCTTCCGTCTTCTCTCCAAAACGAATGCTTGCTTCTGTAACTCGAATTTTTTTTCTTTTTATTTTTTCCTCTCAAAGCACAACATCGAAAGGTTCAATTATACATATACAGTATTAGATGTCGAGAATTGAGCTTTACTTGATAAGTCCAAGTTACGCCGTGACTGGAGGTCAGCAACGCTGCTTTCCGCGATCGGAATCCCGATGGATCGATTTCGTACGTTTCCGCACCTTGTCTGGCTTGGACAGGCGTGTATCCCGATCTTTTCCTCATGATGTCCCTGCATTACAATAAAAAAAATATTCAGTTCTAAGTACTTCTAAGACTAACTGAGAATGGGCTAGGAATGATTTCATTCAATTTTTTTTCAAAACTGAATAATAAAAATGCTGCTTGCAGCCACATCATTTATGGAAGAATTTTAAAAAAGCATTTAGAAATGTTGAAAATAATACCGTATTAACTCAGGTTCCACGCACCCTTGAGTAAGGTGCACACAGGGGTTTTTCAGTTGGAAATTTGGCTAAAATCTTATACCCAAGTAAGATGCTGACCCAAATTTTTAGTGAATCTAAAACCATAAAATTTTGGAAATAAATTCAAAAAATCTGACTTCAGACATGAACCAAACAAAAATTGGATCAATTTTCAACTTTTTCAGCAAAAAAAAAGTTTTCTTGTTAAATTTGTTCAAAATGTCTCCATTATAATTAAGTATAATGCACACATTATTCCTAAAACTTCTTAAAAATGTGTACCCGCTTATGACGCGCACCCCTTTTTTTTCTTCTGAAATTTGAGAAAAAAGGTGTGCGTGGTACTGGATTAAATACAGTAATACAAATACTGTATCTACTCCAATAACTAATTCTTCATCTAGATAATTTCCGACCATCTTGAACCTTTCTTCAAAATAATAAATTCTTGATATTCTCTCAAATTTGACATGAAAAAAGGGGGTTTGCGTCATAGATTTGTATAGATTTTTTAACATTTTCCAGAAATGGAAGCATGCATTATACCAAATTTTATAATAAAAAAATTCTGGACCATCTTACAAAAAAACTTTTGTTAATGAAAAGAATTCAAAATCAGTTGAATTCAGGTTCAAAATCATGTCGAGATTCGAATTCAGGTGTTCTTATTTTTTACATAAATGTGGCTTCAGATTTACTCAAAATGGGTAGCGCGTCTTCCTTAGGAATACAAGTTTATCAGAAGTTTTTGACTGAAAACCCCTCACGCGCTTAAATACAGTAGTCAGGCGACATCTACCCAACACAACTGACAGTAGAGTCGAAAGCGTGAAGAGCATAAAAACCGAATTTACAGGATTTTTTTTTTTGGCACGACAGTCGACAGAATCTGATTTCGAACAGATCTACAAAAGCAGCTACAAGACAGTGTTCGGAAATCCCGAAAGATGAAAAAATAATAAGGCAATTTTTGTTTTTTTTCTTTTTCACAAAATTTACATGAGTAAATCCCAGCTGGGTTTGCCTCGCTCAAAACCGTAGCTCCAGAACCGCTTCCCGACAAGCTTGATGCTTTCCACAGTGTCCAGTTCGGGCAGAAGCCCGGGCAACTGAACAATTCCCTGCGACTTGTCACTGCCAACCAAATGACCGTCCGGTCGGCAAACCACAAACAATTTGGCCGACACCGGCATCCCGGAATCGTCTTCCACGTGAACAGACGGGACCAAGAACGGCACCAGATGTCGCGGCTCCGCAGCCATGACGATCAAATGCCTCAGGGCTTGAAGATGATACCTTAAAACCATTAAGAAGGAAAAGAAAGCATTGCAAAATTTTCCATTTTTGAATAATTCCTCAATTCACCGATTGTCAGCTGAATGAGCAGGGAATTTCGGAAACAGAGAAATGACCATAGCAGCGACAGCTTTCGGACTAGTCTGCAAACTGAACCCGCTACCGCCGAGGAACAGGAGTCCCATCGCCATGTGCGCGGCCATGTTTAAGCCGTACGCCATTTCGCNGAACAACGTCAGCATCGTCTTCAAAGTCTTCCACCAGCTGCTTGGTCCGCTTGGAATCGGGCAGAACTTGTTGCATGAACGCGATGGCGAGCGACATCTGCCGGAGCCTCGTGCACACCGTCAACTGAGAGCAAAAGTCCTTCTTGCTGCAACCGTCCTTCAAACTTCTCGCGATCTTGGAGAAAAAAAGAAAAAGAAAGACGATAAAATATGAACAAATTACAATTGGATGCGATGAAAAAAACCATGAAGTGGTCCCAAAGATTGATTTACTCACATTGCTAAGCATTAAAGCATCACCAAAGGCGATGATCCTGCCTTGAGTCACGTACTCGAAAAACAACGTGGTTATTCGATCGTGTTCGGCCCTTTCTTTGGCATCCGCGTCTTCGGGTGATGCCGAACCCAGGATGAATTCGGGTATTTCCGCGATCCCAGGCAACCCGAGGAATGCGCTCACATCACAACTCTACAGAGAGAATAGTTAAAACAAAAAATTACCACATGTTTCTGAGTAAAGTTGAACCTCGATAACTCGAACCTCCCACTATCAAATTTTCCCAAGTCCCTGTCAGAATTCCCGTAGAAAAAACTTCAATAAAAAGTCTCCATGACTCGAATTTTCTGGAGGCCTTTTGAATATTTTTCCATTGACACAGGAAAGGAGAAAGCAAATAAAATGTAACTCAATACTTTTGGAAAGGAACAGTGAGACTGATCTCGCAAGGAAAGCCACGACTCCAAGTTTAAGATCCTTTCAAAGCATACAAAACCCAGAATAACCCCAATTACAATTTTCTGCAATTCTTCCGTCTTTTCTCCAAAACAAATGCTTGTTTCTCTAACTCAAATTCTTTTCTTTTCTTTTTTTTCCTCGAAGCTCAACTTCGAAAGGTTCAAGTATACATATATTAGATGTCAAGAATTGAGCTTTACTTGATAAGTCCAAGTTACGCCGTGACTGGAGGTCAGCAACGCTGCTTTCCGCGATCGGAATCCCGATGGATCGATTTCGTACGTTTCCGCACCTTGTCTGGCTTGCACAGGCGTGTATCCCGATCTTTTCCTCATGATGTCCCTGCATTACAATAAAAAAATTAAACTGAAAACGGGTCAAGAATAATTTCATCCAATTTTTTATTTTCAAAACTGAATAATAAAGAATGCTGCTTTCAGCCGCATCATTTACGGAAGAATTTCGAAAGAGCGTTTAAGAAAACACTATTGAAAAGAATAATAAAAGTACTGCATCTTCTCCAATAACTGAATCTTCATCCAGATATTTTCCGACCGTCTTGAACCTTTCTTCAAAATAATAAATTCTTGATATTCTCTCAAATTTTACATGAAAAAAAGGGATTTGCGTCATAGATTTGTATACATTTTTTAACCTTTTTTCAGAAATGGAAGCATGCATTATACCAAATTTTATGATGAAAAAATTCTGGACCATCTAAAAAAAAAAAAATTTGTTAATGAAAACATTTCACAATCAGTTGAATTCAGGCTCAAAATCATGTCAAAATTCGAATTTGGGTGTTCTTATTCTTTCAAATAAATGTGGCTTCAGTGTCACTCAAAATGGGTTGCGCGTCTCACTTGGGAATACAAGTTTATCAAAAGTATTTGACTCGAAAACCCTCGTGAGCTTAATACAATATTCAGGCGATATCTACCCTACACCACTGACAGTAGAGTCAAAAGCGTGAAGAGCATAAAACCGAAATTTACAGGAAATTGTTTTTTTTTTTTTTTTGGCACGAAGGTCGACAGAATCTGATTTCGAACAGATCTACGAAAGCAGCTACAAGACAGTGTTCGGAAATCCCGAAAGATGAAAAAATAATAAGGCAATTTTTGTTTTTTTCTTTTTCACAAAATTTACATGAGTAAATCCCAGCTGGGTTTGCCTCGCTCAAAACCGTAGCTCCAGAACCGCTTCCCGACAAGCTTGATGCTCTCCACAGTGTCCAGTTCGGGCAGAAGCCCGGGCAACTGAACAATTCCCTGCGACTTGTCACTGCCAACCAAATGACCGTCCGGTCGGCAAACCACAAACAATTTGGCCGACACCGGCATCCCGGAATCGTCTTCCACGTGAACAGACGGGACCAAGAACGGCACCAGATGTCGCGGCTCCGCAGCCATGACGATCAAATGCCTCAGGGCTTGAAGATGATACCTTAAAACCATTAAGAAGGAAAAGAAAGCATGCAAAATTTTCCATTTTTGAATAATTCCTCAATTCACCGATTGTCAGCTGAATGAGCAGGGAATTTCGGAAACAGAGAAATGACCATAGCAGCGACAGCTTTCGGACTAGTCTGCAAACTGAACCCGCTACCGCCGAGGAACAGGAGTCCCATCGCCATGTGCGCGGCCATGTTTAAGCCGTATGCCATTTCGCTTTGCAGAAGCCCTGAAACACACATTCACGATAAAATTTCACGATGAAATCGCTCCCGAGTTTCAAATTTATTTTAAAAACCTTACAAATAAATCAGATTCTTTTCGTTTTTTTAAGATGAATCACTTTGAATGGCATTTTCTCACCATTTTCGAAAAAATTTCTTTAGAAATAAAGGCTATTCAAATTTATACCAACACACGTATACGTCAACTAAAAAGTAAAAACATTAGACAAACGCAAATTTTAAGCAAAACAAAAAACCTTAAAAAAGTTTTCCGAATCTTTTCTTTTTTCAAGATAAATCGGTTCGAATTGAAATTTCTCGAAGTTTCGGAAAACCTTTCGCAGAGAAAAGGGTTCTTGGTTCTTCAAAATGATTAGCATACGATACGTCGGTTAAAAACATGAAAGAAACACGATTTACAATTTTTTTCAAGAAAAATCAGTTTGAATTACATTTTTTGCCCTTCAGATAAATTCTTTTACAGATTCGGGTTTTTTCAAAAGGATTACCGTACAATACGCCAATTCAAAATGAATAAACGAACAAACTCGTATTTCTTCAAAGAGAGAAAAACAGTGAACATTTTGCAGATTCTTTTCCTTTTTCAAGATAAATCCGTTTGAAGTGCATTTTCTTGCTCTTTTGGAGAACTTTTCTCCGAGGTAAAGGCTTTCCAAAATTATTTCCGTAAAATACTGTACGTCAATTAAAAAAAAAGAACGCGAATCGAAAGCCACAGAATTAACTTTCAATTGAGCCCCTAAACCAAGATTTCCTTCCGTCAGACTTCTTCGGAGTAAAAATGAATAAATCCAACCCACAAAAGCACAGAAAAAAAAAAAACGAGACACTGTAAGCGGTTTTTTTTTTTCTTTGTTCCTAGTAAGAAAACTCACCAGTCTTGAAATGAATCGCCCGACACACCTTGAGTGACTTCAAGTCCCCCGTGCCGGCCATAAGGACACCTAGACTCAACGTAAGCACTCCTACGCAATTCATCACAGTCGCTCGATGAATAAAGTCGGATTGTAATCGAAGTGCGGGATTCTGTCGGCCGACAAGCTTGAGAAACGCCTTGGCGTACCTGTAAATCACTTCAAAGGCGGTCTTGTCGCCGCTTCCGGCGAATCTCATCGCCATCACCAGGCAACTTCCGGCTACCACGTTGCAGTACGCTTGTCTAAAGAAAACAGAAAAAAAAATATTTATATACAGTGAAATCTCGACTTCAGAAGCACGAAGGAGGGAAAATCTAAAAAAGGCACGTTCAAAGCCATTTAAAAGTATCCCTAATCAGGTTTCCTCATTCTACGCTTTCTTACTTGCTTGAAAACAGCGAAATAACCGAGCAATCATTTTTGAAAATGCCCACGAAACTTCGCAAAACAATTCTTAAAAATCCATTAAGCATCCATCCATTTCCTTACGACATGAGCTCCAAGTCCTGCGTTTCCCCAAACTCAGTGTCATCCTCTTCATCTCCCAGGACGGATCGATCAGTCAGCGATAACCGAAGACCCGTCGAGGGTTCGCCAGGCAAAACCCCCAGCACCTTGGGGATGCATTTCGGGATGTAGCTCGGGATTTGATCCTTGACCCAGTCATCTTTCGGCTGGATTTTGCTCCACAGGATCAAGCCTCTGCTGATCACTCTCAGCATGATCAGATCCGGTCGAACGCAGTCCAAACCGTAGGCAGTCGCGGGCAACGACAACCAGTCCGTCACGGTTCTGCAAAGCATCAATTTAACCAAAACAAATTATACTTCAATAAATCGATGGCAAACGAAACGGATCAGTCAACAGAAACTTCCACACAGAGCAAAATCTCGGATCAAATCTTGACGCTGGAAGTTACTTCAGCGAATTTTCGAGAGCTTTCATTTCACGCATGATGTCGCTCATACAATTGTTTCCTCGGACATCATGTAGACGTCGCCTGAATTTCAGCTTGGTCAGCTATTTCCATTCAAGTTGAGTCAACCTGAGTAGCATTGGAAAAGCTTCAACTTCATGAAATTAATGCATCCTCTTTTTTAAAACACCATGGCGCGTGTCTCACTCAGAGGCATGCGTTACTTGAGTGAATATGGTGTTTTCAGTAAGGTTTGTTATTCAAGTGACTCATCAAGAACATCAAAAATCCGAATTAATTTTAAAAAAACCGTGGAACTAAAATTAGTGAAAATACCATGAGGGAATCATTGAATTACCTGCTTCCAGTGTTGAAGAACATCAGTCCAAATGCCAGAGTTGCACCTGGAGCCGTCATATCCAAATTAATTCTTTCCCCTTCTTTTATTTGGTAACTGGGTGTCTTGTACTTGTCCTTCTGGACACCTGAAAAAAAAACACACACAAGCAACATTGAAAAATATTTCCCATTTTAGTAAAATATCTCAAACGCTTTCTTTGCCAAGATTTTTACCGGCAAAAGGCCGCTTTGTTCCACCAGTGATGTAGTGATACAGGGTGTCTGCCAAAGTCCTAGGGGTTTTGGAATCAAAGCAAGGACGTTTAGCTCCCTCTCCAAGAATCTCTTCTCCTCTGCCAAGACAAACCATGCCAAGCGCCAGGCCAGCAGAAAGACAGTAAGACTCCCTGTCCTTGCTGTCATCCATTTCTGGTCCAGGTGGCCTTCCTGGAAACAGCCAAAGAAGGAAAAATTGAAAAATATATTGAAACTAATGCAAAGGCATTCCATTTTGACCTTGCAAAGTCGAACCTAAACAAGTCAAGAACCTCAAAAAGTCAAATTGTTGTATTTCCTCAAGAACAATATATATACCGGTGCAATGATTTGGTTAACAAAAAAATTAAAAAATAAAAACTAATTTTGTTGGCTCCCATATGGTTCTCTACCTTTTAATTTTGTTTTCCTATAACGAAATCCTCTCAACAATAATTTTTTCCTAGTCCCCTGAATTTCGTTGTGGAGAGAGTCCATCTGAGTAGACCTCCATAACTTGAAAACTTTCCTCCCTCAAACCTCTTCAACTGAAATTTTGAGAGGTCATTTGGCTATTTGCTGGGGACCCAGGAAAGAGGAAAAATGTAACTGGAGGCTTTTCAGAAGATAGCGTGCGAGTTATTGGGTAATTTTTTTTTTTTTCAAAAAATTGAGCATCCCATCAACTTATTGTCCAAGAGTTCAAGGCACAAAATATAAAAAAAGTCACCTTCCTCTAATACTTCTCTTCTCCCACAGCAAAAATGTAGGTTTTCCCTACTCAAAATAGCATTCTCAGCCCCTCTAAGACATTATGAATCCATCCATATGCAAATGGAACTAAAAAAAAAAAAAAAGGTCCATCAATCTTCCAATGCTTTATGAATTTGGTACTCAATGGATTTCTATGCCTCTTTGCCTACATCTGGGTCAAGGATATAGTGCTATAATCCAAGAATGCTGACCAACAACTTGAAAACACCGTACAACACAAAAACCATTCAAGTAAATTTGTGCGGGGTCTCTGGGTTTGACTGTAAATTCAAAACATAATTGTTTTTACCAACCAACAATCAGGGAAAAAAAATCTCAATCTATAAATTTCAGCACATCAATGAGACATCTGAGGACAAAACATGCCTTTTTTATATCATTGTCATCATAAATTAAAACTCACCAATTTCTTCTAGCAAAACCCTGGAAATGTGTCCATCCCCAGATCCCATGTACAATAATCCTAAGCTAATTGCTGCAGCTGTTTGAACAGGCATAGCAATGTCCAGGTCCACTGGAGTTGGAACCGTCATTGCTTCCATGTGCAAAGTAATCAACTTCAGCACATTCAAATTCTGCGTCCCTGAAAATAAAGCAACAAAATTCAATGAGAAAAAAATGCGAATGATCAAAGAGCTTTTAGCCACTTCTAAAGTTTCACAAGTTCGTTTTTAAAACTTCGAGAAAATTACGGAGTCACGAAACATTGTTGGCATTGAGAACAACCTTGAAAAAAGGACTGCTTTGTAATCGATTATTCGTTATATCGAGATTCTCCTGCTGTAATAGCCAAAATACCTCAAGAAAAAGTTCGAGGGTGAAATCCTTTCAGTTGGGGAGGTTCGGGTTACAAAGGTTCAACTGTTTACAGTAGAATATCGTTACAACGAATTTTATTCATAACGAATTAACGCTTAGAACAAATTTGGCTTTTTCGGTCCCTGTCAAATAGCCACGACACTTTTTTTTTTTCAATGAGACTCTATTGTACAGAATTTCAAAATAATCAAGCATAATCACCAGACATCAACACACAACAACCACCTTCTGCAAAAAATAATAAAATCCCGGGCAAAACTCACCACAAAAATCCGCGCCCATCCCCAACAGCATCCCGACAGTGACCAACTCCTTACACTGCCGCAAGTAATCATGCGCATTCAACGACGCCAAGTGCTTCAGGTGCCCGTTGAGGCCCATGGCCAGCAGAAACCCTCCGTGTTGGGCCACAGTGTTGGCCACGACTGCCGGCGTGGCACCCGGGGTAATTTGCGGCTTGTTAAACACCACCCAGCTGGAACACATGGATTTGTCGCCACTGCGGATCCGCAACCCGGACGCCACTCCGTTGTGGAACGAGGGCCAGAGGGCCATGTCCGCCGGAACTTCGAGTCGGGACAATTCCACCGTCGTGCTGCGAGGGACGGCCTTTCCGGTCAAGCAGAGTTTCGGGACGACTTCGGGCTCGAATGCCACGCGATTTGCGATGCGCAACGTGAATAATCCCCTGCGAAAAAAAACAAGACACATGGATGAACTTTTGAACGCGTTTTAATTCAGCACAAAATACAGTCAAACCAAAATTCAGGACAACATTTCTCAGGAACAAATCAGCCTTCATTTTTGTGTCAAGGGAAACCCCAGTTTAGTGCCAAACTCACTGAGTACCACACAAAATGTCACTGTCCTGGATGAGAAATAGGCCAAATCAAAGAAATTCACGTAATTTTTTTTTCTGAAGATGACAATGGGGTATTACTGTGAATCACGCTTGCAGAAAAAAACTCAGTACAATTTTCAAGGTGTTATTTCTGAATTTGCTATGTTGCACACAATTTTTTGCTGCTGCCTGGCACCTTCTTTCATTGGAAATTTTCAAAGAAAGAGGGATTTGTTATCTCAAATTGTCTGAACAAATAAACTCAATACTACACTCCAACTGTTAACCAGCTGATCAACTTTTGAGCAGAGTTATGACTTATTCCAATTTTACTTGAGTTACTTATGATTCTTGAAGATGCCAACTGTTCCCCCCAAACTTTTGGAGAAGCACACAAGAATACTTTGAGGAAATACAGTGGGACCCCCACATGCGGACACCTCAGCATGCGGACAATTTGACATACCAACACTTATTTTCCCATAAAATTAATAAAAAAGGCCTGACATGAGGACACTGACTCAACATAGGGACATTTTGTGATGAAAAACAAACAGATATTTCCAACCCTAAAATTGACGTAAGAAAATTTGTTGGGCATTTCTCTCAACAATTTACCATCCATTTAAAAAAAAAAAAAAAATTACCTCCAGCATAGNAACAATTTACCATCCATTTAGCTAATTTTAAAAAATTACCTCCAGCATAGAGGGACTTCATTTGCTCTTTTTCACTTGAATGTTATTTTTACAGAGAATGCCAACACTTCTATGCACTGTACAGAGGTATTAGTATTCAATTCCCCAAATGTCCATATTATGTTGAAATATATAGATTGAATCAGTTTAAATTGGGAGACAATTTTTTATTTTCCTGGAATTATGGTGAGTATTTTGTCCATAAAACACCAATTAAAAATTAAATAATGTAAGTCTAAGGGAAAATAAGACTCAACTTAGGGACATTTCACCATAGGGGCACTCTTGATGCATAAATTACGTTCTCATCTTAAGGTCTCACTGTATCACTGTCACTATTGTCTTTTAGTCAACCAATATTTCATTTTTACATGTGTGGAGCAATTTGACGCAGTCACGGTTTCACAACAAGATCCAGGAGATTAGTTGGATTTTCATATGTGGAACACCGGAATTCATTAACTTATCTAATTAAAAGAGATCATGGTATGCACACAGCAACCAACTTGGATCAGTGTTGGCACACTTCATTGTACTACAGAACAGCCAAAGAGAGGAGAGCATGTAGAAAAGTATTCTGGATGGCAACAGAATTTTTGGCAGACTGCATCAACCCCTGATCAATCCTTAAACAAATGAGTGAACCAGAAATGCTCTTCATGCGGTAGTCATAACAATAGAACTACAGATCTTTCCTGTAAATACTGATGATTCCTGCTAAAAACCCAAAATAAAACTCAAACAAAATTTCAAGAAACACCTTT